GCCAAAGATTCATTATTTTTTGGCTTGAGATTATGATGGAATAAAGCAAAATGGCTCACTAAACTGTCTGCGCTTCTTTGTTATGGAGCAGCAGTCAGTCCATGCAATCTTGGACGCGATTTTCACTATGGGTCATCCGGAAACAGTCTCTCTGTGCTTTAGTACAGGGGTAAGACTGCGTACATCCGACCCCCCCCCCCCCTACCCCACCGTAGGTGGGAGCCTTTGCGGCACTGGGGTAAATGAAAATGATGAAAATGAAAATTCTCAAATTTGTCTGGGGTACCATGAGAATAGCATTTGTTATTCAAGCATGTCACATTGTCTTACAATTACAAGTTTTCAATGTGTATATAACAACAATTGAAAAACAATAAAAATTATTGATATTGTACAAATAATAATACTTAAGATATAATCAAAGTACTTAAATCAAACAAGCAAATTCAAATGAGATAAAGAGATTCAAATAGGGTGAAGTGAACACTTTCTTAGTTGACATTTTATTTTATTATTAATTGCAACACTGCTCTTTTTGGTAGTTTCAAATTAATTGCAACACTTCCATTAATGGCAAACAAAATAAATAGAATGTCTATATTGCCCCTAATGATTCGATACCTACCTTTTCTAATTTCTCTCCCACCATCAATCTCCCATTTCTCTCTTTCCTTAATTTCTTGCCAATTGCCATCCACCCCTTTAGTTATCTTCCCCCATATACACCATGTGTTTTTCTAATCTAACGTGCCGACACCTTGTTTACTCCTTTAGGCTTCACCATCCCCCTCGATATTCGACCATGGAATATGTAGGGTTAGTGCTTCCAGGTTTACATCTACTCCTCACATTCTCGCTGCAAGAGAGAATCCATTGTGGGAGGTTTACCATCAGATCTTTGGATTTCAAGGTTGTACACCAGAGAGAAGGTTTACATATTTGAGTATTGTGTAAGCTAATTTGAAAGTACCATCATTCCGTGATAGTATTTGTAATCTGAAAAGTAGTACTGTTATTGTACAGTAATATGCCTATAACCTTTATCTGCTACAACCCAACGCGGAGTATTGAAGGGTATAATAGGAAGAAAATCACTTTATTTACTTTTCTTAACTCATGTGCCGGAACCTCATGTTGCATCTATTTAGAGATGGAGGATAGTATATCTCAAAGCGTATGGAAATTTTTTGTCTGTTTATTTTATATGATCAGTTATAACTACAAGGCTAAGGGAGGTTGTTGGTAACCTAGGATTGTTTAAATTGACCTTTTCTTTTCTGAACAGATGTCAATCATACAATTTCATTACTTAAGAACCACCACAACAACATCCAAGCCCTATTCCCAAAAGATTTTGGGGCGGCTAACATGAAGCGAATCATGATATCAGAGCTTAAGAACCATCAATATAAAAACAAAAAAGAAAGAACATTATGGGATAAAGAGAGTAAAACTATATAGTTATATGCTGTAATAGTCAAGTATGTTAATATAAGAGGATATCAAATGGCCCACACAAGTGTTGTTTCATATACTGACATACGCTTAAGATTGCTTAGCATCAAATTACATACATATATATATGTATATATATATATGTGTATATATATATATATATATATATAGGAAAATCCTCAATGAAAATTTTATGGTATGTTCTTCATCAAGTCTAGTTTATCCATATCAAATTTCAGCTCAAAATTCGATCGTGAAGGTCTTCAAATGATTTTTTGAAGTTGAATGCGTTTTTCTATGTATAATTTTGCGCAGTCAACTTCAAAAAATCATTTGAAGGCCTTCCCGATCAAAATATGAGCTGAAATCTAGTATGGATAAACTAGATTTGACGAAGAACATACCATAAAAATTTCATCGAAAAATTCCAACGGGAACCGCCCCAAACGGCGGTGTTCGGACGGCGCCTCAGGTGTGAACGTTCGGACCTGAGAATGTCGTCCGGACACCGTCGTTTTCTGTCTAGCAATTTTCTGTCCGAACGCCGTCCGAACATCGCCGTTTGGGGTGGTTTCCGGCGGAGTTTTTTTATGAAATTTTTTGAGCATGTTCCTCATCAAGTCTAGTTTATCCATACCAAATTTCAGTTCAAAATTCGATCAGGAAGGCAGTCAAATAATTCATTGAAGTTAATTGAGCCAAATTATACATAGAAAAACGCAGTTAACTTCAATGAATTATTTGACTGTCTTTCCGATCGAATTTTATTTGATATGGATAAACTAAACTTGATGAGGAATATCCTAAAAAAATTTTATCAAAAAATTCTACCGGGAACCGCCCCAAACGGCAGTGTTCGAACGGCGTTCGGACCGGGAGGTGCTGGACCTGAGAGTTTTCCTACGCGCACACACATATATAGGGGAGGGTTCTAGTGAGAACTCTCTTAAAATGAGAACCACAGGGAATCAATGGTATTTTTGGCTGAATTTTTTTGTGTATGTTTCTCATCAAGTCTAATTGATCCATACCAAATTTGAGCAAAAAATTCAATCGGGAAGGTCGTCGAATGATTTTTGAAAGAAAACTGTGTTATATATATATATATATATATAGGGTTGAGATCGGATACAAAGTATGCTTCCCGTACAAAATGCAAAATCATCTCATCCGTTCGATATTAGTTGATCAAGGGTACACTTTTTTTGGAGCACTAATAGTCAACCGTATTAATGGGGGGAGTTATTTATCCTCTCACCAAAACATACGGATAAGTAGTTAGTGGGAAAGTTCTTCCATCCTCACCGTTATCTAATTAATATGAATGTCTAGGATTAGTTTGCACTTTGTAAATTAGGATTAGTTTGTATGTGATCCTAAATCTATCTATATATATATATATATATATATATATATATATATATATATATATATATATATGACCCTTTAGCCATTATATATATATGGCTAAAGGGTCAAATAGGTGAGGATGGAAGAACTTTCCCACTAACTACTTATCCGTATGTTTTCGGTTTGGTCGGTTCGATTTGGTCGGTTTCGGTTTTAGGAAAGGTGAAACCGAAAACCGAACCGTAGTACTTGAGTCGGTTTCGGTTTGGTTTCGGTTCGGTTATTTTCGGTCGGTTTTAGCACGTTTTTTGTCGGTTTTTGTCGGTCGGTTTCGGTCGTTTTTTAATCCAAAAGGTGAAACCGTAAACCGAACCGTCAATGAATAGTCGGTTTGAGTCGGTGTCGGTTTGAGTCGGTTTCGGTTTTGGTCGGTTCGGTTTCGGTCGGTTCGGTTTCGGTCGATTTCGGTTTTTTTGTTCACCCCTAATATATATATATATATATATATATATATATATATATATATATATATATATATATATATATATATATATATATAGCTAAAGGGTCAAATAGACCCCTGAACGTATACGAATTGCTCAATTGGCACCCCAAACCCAAAAAAGCTCCGATCCAACCCACCAACCAAATTAAAAACTTCAATCCCCCCATCCAACCGGTTACCTCCCGGTTGTCTCCCTTTCAACCAAAAACTGGAAGGTCGGTGGTTATCAGAGAGCTCCAAGCTACCATTAATGACGGAAATCAGAGAGCTCTCAGCCGGTGGGGGTTCCCACAACATCGGACCAGATGGATGAGTGGTCAGTGGTTGGCCGCTGATGACGAAGGAAGTGTGGCGGCTGGAGGAGCCAACGACGAGCCACGAGCATTGCTACGGCCGGCGGCGTTTCTCCGGAAATGGAGCGGCGAGACCTGGGGCGCTTCAGAGAGCACCATTTGGTGCAGGTGGCCTTACCGGAGGGTTCACAGAGGTGCGAACGACGACGGCGGCTACGGTGACCCTTGGTGATAACCTTTGGTGCGAAGTACTGTTCACAGGCGTAAGGGGGACAACCGGGAGGTAACCGGTTGGATGGGGGGATTGAAGTTTTTAATTTGTTTGGTGGGTTGGATCAGAGCTTTTTTGGGTTTGGGGTGCCAATTGAGCAATTCGTATACGTTCAGGGGCCTATTTGACCCTTTAGCCTATATATATATATATAAAAATATATATATATATATATATATATATTTATATATATATATTTATTTATATATTTATCGGACCCGTTTTCTTTCAAAAATCATTTGATGACCTTCACGATTGAATTTTTTGCTCAAATTTGGTATGGATGATCTAGACTTGATGAGGAACATACACAAAAAAATTCAGCCAAAAATACCATCGGTTCTTTGGGATTCTCACGGGTTCTCATTTTAAGAGGGGTTCTCACTAGAACCTTCCCCTATATATATTCCCTCCGTCCCACAATGAACTTCACAGTTTGACCTACACACATATTAAGGAAATAAACTTACTATGGGGTAAATTTTACTGTTTGACACTATTTTGCACTGTTTGGCTCTCTTTTTCACTATTTGACACTGTTTGATGTAGATTAACTTACCATTTAAGGAAATGAGAACTTGTTTCTGAGACATCCAAAAAAGGAAAGTGGGAAGTTCATTGCGGGACGGATCAAATGAGAACAATGCTTAACGTGAGAACGTAAGAACATCACATTTACCCCAATGTGATGCACAATGAGGCTCGCCTAATGCACTTCTTTGTGTTCAGCATAATATTTACAAAAATGCCACCAAATTATTTATATTGGCTTGTTTCGAGCAAATTCAAAATGTGCACCAGACGGGCTCTATTGTGTATCACATTTGGTTAATTGTGATTGTTCTCACGTTAAGCGTCGTTGGAACCGCACCCTATATATATATATACACTCCCTCCAATCCTAAATAAAGTTCACACTTTCCTTTTTGGGCCGGTCCAAAATAAAGTTCACACTTCTGCTTTCTTCCTTATTTGGCAAATTATCTACATCAAAACAGTGCAAAACAGTGACAGTGCCAAACAGTGTCACAACGGTGTACTCTACAGTAAAGTCAAATTTATTTCCTTAATTTGTGTGAAGTCAAACACTGAACTTTATTTAGGACCGGAGGGAGTATGATATACTCCGTGTGTGTGTATTATAATGTTTACAACATTGAACAACGTCCAAAGTATATAACAATAATAACAGTACATCACAATAATGACAAAAATAAAAATGAACTGTGCATCTTTAGATACGATCTCACCTCAAGCTGTCTTTAAAATAGTTTTCTATTCCTGTTACCAAATTGCTTTAGAGAACAGGGTACTTGGAAAATTAGGTTTCGAAATGCAACCAACCATGAAGAATGTAGGATATGGTTATTGCAGACAATAGGAACGGAAGAACATATGGGGAAGAGTTTACCAAGCTTCCATCTTCACCATTTTTTACTCACTCTCAGCCATCAAGACAAATAGTTCTTCATCCGTGATTGCTCCCATTTCCATGGTCCTTTCAAGAATACTGAACCCCCCAGCATCCCTAATTGATGAACGAGCGCCTCTGGATAACATGCATGTTCATAAGTGTTGATACATAGGCTTTTTCTACTACTTTTATACATGTGTGGTTGATGTAAAAAAGTTCATTGCTAATCTAACTTGTGATACCTTATTGTATATGACCAACGCGCCTTAGAAGGAAGATGTGTCATCATCGCCTCAAATCGAGGGCTCAGACCCATAGGCTACCAACACGTGCAGACTGTTCATTAGTTATAGTTCATTTATTACACCCTATGGTGCACCGATACTTCACTCTGATGCCGTATTGGATCCGTATCCGTAATTTTAATCCGTAATTTACCGATAGTCCGATACTCACCAATACGCGTCATGCATGTATTGGATCCGTATCCGTAATTTAATAAAAGTATTGGACTTATTTTAAAATATATAAATACTTCCAAGCGATCACAAAAGGTGGAACATCGGTAAAGATGGTTTCGGGAGTATTGAAAATTTAGGAATGCTATAATTTGCCAATTTATCGCTTGATGAGCTTTATTGAAATCAGTCTTGTTAAAAGACTTAGATGTAAATGCAAATAGAGAACCAAAAATATTATTTGAATTTAAATCGAAATATCAATACTTTAGTTTCTTGAGTATAATCTTTGAAGTTTTATTATAATTGTTAATTTTTGGTACTGTTATTATTATATTTATGAACATTTGTATTATATATATTTTTGCAAAGTATACCCTATATTATTAGTTATTAATATACCCCCGTACCCGTATCCTATAATTTTGAAGATGCCGACATGCTGTATCGCTGTACCCGTTTTCACGTATCGGTGTAACGGCGTATCCGTATCCGTGCAACATAGATTATACCTATAACGCTATAAGGGCTGTTGTAAGGGTTGCTAAATACATTTACTAATTTATGTGTCTAAGCTTTCCCCTCCAACTTCTCTCAAGAATTATTAGTGGTGTTCAGATAAGCTATCAATCTATCTCAGTTATTAACACCACAAATTAGGGAAAAAAATCTCATGCATTATGTCAACTGTGTAATTGGATGATCATCAAACATGGTTTGCATCATGCTGGTTGAATGCTCATAAAATATGAATAGAAGATTACCTTCTAAGCAAAAATTTTGCCAATTGGTTATTCCCCGATGAGATGCAATGGTGCAGAGCAGTTCTTCCATGCAAGTCGCGCCTGTTTATATCCGCACCGAATTGGAGCAGCAGTTCAACAATTACAGGATTATCAGAGTGGCATGCTTGATGCAATAATGAACAGCCTTGAAGACACAGCTTGATATTCTCACAGGCTGCTGGATCACATTGTTTCTTTTCAGAATCTTGAAATTCAAGCTCTGAAAAATCATGAAACAGCGTCGCACCAACCACTTCATCATAAGTGGTGTTTATTACATTTACATCTGATGTCACAATGATTCGATATACTTCCTTGGAACGGTTTGCTTTTACAGCATCCCAGATGCTATTGATGGCATCATTCTTGTTATATGCTAGAGCTTCTTTGTTGATAAACAGCTTTTCAACATACTGGACCACAAAAGGCCTAAATTAATGTCTTAGGACAAATGTAAGTGTGCATCTCTCTAAGTGTGCATCTCTCTAAGTGTGCCACTCAAAAGCACACTTGCGTGCACAGTTACATGCCCTTTCTTTAGTCTTCCATATCATAATTTGGACAGTGCATATTGTGAAGATACAATAATGATAACAAGACCTCTGTAAGTATTGCATTCTACTAAAGAGATCTTGAGATTGAGAGTTCGTTTAAACAAGTTTGAAACCAAGATTCATTGGTTTTGAAATGAGTAGCAACATAAGTAAAAAGGAGATTCTACATCAGCCATACACAAACCCTATCAGTTATTTAAAGATTCTGAACACATCAACTAACAGATATAGCATGGATAGAATATCAAGAATCATATTCAGAGAAAAGATGTGCACCTTTGCCATGATGAACTTCTCCTTTTTGTGAAAAGCATCTGTGGAGTTCGGTTTTGAAACAGAAAGAATACTTTTTGTCCTGAATGGATGGTAGTTTAGAGACAGGACAAGAAAAAAGTAGAAATTTCTTCAAAGTTGAAAATGCTATGCTTTTCTTTCAACCAATTCACTACTGATACAGAACTCTACATAAAAGGCAGGTTATCAGCTAGTATTGTTTACGAATGAAATTACATATCCATTACAAAATAATAATTAAAAAGTTGTCTAGTGCTATACCGGTTGGAAGTTTTGACCACAATGTGTTATTACCTTCATCCCTCTAACATTGGGACAAGAGGGAGTGATGAAGTTATTAAGAAAAGTGGAATTGTTTGGTTGGTATTAAACTGATAAAATGTGAGTAAAGTAAGAATGAATTGTAACTACCAAAATATTACCAAATATGGTATGCAACAAACTTATTGGGACAGACGAAAAAGGTAAAAATGGGACAAAGATAGGGGAAAGATGGAGTATTATTTATGTTACTTGTTTCCTTATTCGCTTTTAGCAGAACTAGTGGGATTAAATTCCTTTTGTTTTCTTAGAAGTTATTTATAATTGTACATTCTTTCTCAAAAAATGTGGCATAGATATTCAAAAACCCGGTGAGAAGGAGCTTATAAGGCCTGGAGCTACTAGATTTGCAAGAGTGTTTCTCACTTTGCAATCTTATATAAACACAAAGAAGCACCGGGAAATCAATTTAGCTCTCTGGATCGGAGTGCATCCAAATTGGCTATCACAGAAGCGGGAAAGAAGGTAAGCAATATTGTATTGTCTACTAGATTTTGGAGTGCATAGGAAGATTGCATAGGAGCTTCACAACCGCTTCTAGTTATCTTGAGGATAGTTGATGCTGATGGAAAACCTGTTATGCCAGAGCTTTCGATGGCCATGGATTATACCAAGGAAAAAAATCAGTGAGTCATTTGAAAACACGCCTAGAGTTTTGAGAAGCCTGATTGAGATCATTGAGACACAATCACAAGCGCAAATGAAGATCACATTATATAGAGTGGCTTTGTTTTAAACTCCATCTAAATATTTTGATCAAACAACAAAAAACTAAGACTCTTCGTTAGTGATACAATTTATAATATCTAAAAATTATTTTAAAATTTAAATGTATTAAAAAATAACTAATGTTTTGTTTGTGACTAATTTATAGTTAGTTGATGGGATGCTTTTGGTGGACTCACTATTGAGTTGCAATCCCTCGTAAAACTTTGAGCATACTTTGAGCATTTTTGAGTTTGTAAGTAGTAGTACTCAAGCAAATTACAAATTACATAAGATTTTGACTGCTTCAATTAAAATACGATAGTACAAATCAAAAGCATTTTTTTCATTTTTTTAGATTCATACAAAAAATAACACGTTGGAGCATAAGAGGTTGAATGACTTGGTTTTTGTTCAACATGATCGTAAGATAGCAACTAGATTTCAGAAGCGTCGTGAGCAAGGAATGAGCTTCAACTCATTGATATTTGAAGAGTTCCAATGGGACAATGAATATGTTGACAACGATGTTATTCATCTCGGTGATGATCTTTTATGGAGTCGAGCTAATGAAGCTATGCGCATCAGGCAATCTTGAGGGTTGTAATCTTCCTAGAACTAGTAGCTCTCACGAAGAACCAATTAATTATCAACACCATAATTCGAATTCTTCATTAAGGTTGATTGAGGAAGACATGAACAATGAAGAAGATGATTTTCCAAATGATGATGAAGATGTTGAAGATGACTATGGCCAAACATCACCTACTCCCTACATGCGATGATAATGATCAAGGCAATGAAGGCCGTAGAGATCATTTGTAACAAGGCCACCATCACTGATTTGAAGTCGTCCGACATAAATAGAAGAAAGGAAGAACAGAGTGGGGTGGCAGGATTTGTGGCGAATACTGGCGGCGAGGTGTGAAATTCAATGGAGGCGGCGACGCTGAGCGGCTGAGGATGCTGGCAGCAGCGATTACGACACGAGGCGATTAGCAGAGATTATCAGCGGAGGTGGCTCTCAATGATTATTTGCGGAGGTGGTTGGGTGTGGAGGAGCTAGGGATGGACAAATGGGTAGAGGAACCGCGTTTCAGTACGGGAATTACCAATTTGGGGCGGGTTAGGATCGGTTTCGATTTTAAAAAATTTGAAACGGGGTGGGTCGGGTCGGGGCGGGTACTCCAATGTTTAGGTTTCGAGCGGTTATAATATTTCTAAAAAACAGGTACCTGATTCGGACCGTTTTTTAATAAAAAAATACTACCTCCGCCCCGGTGGATTTTGCAAAGTGCAAAGTTTAAGTGAGAAATAAGAAAAGTAAAAATTGTGTGGTTGAGATTCGTGCCGAGGAGAGAGAGAAATGTGCAGAACCACAAATTAGTTGCTTTAATTGGAAAGTGGCAAAGTTTTTTGGGACAACCAAAAGGGGAAAGTTGACAAAGTCCAATGGTACGGAGATAGTATATTTTATTTATTTACTTAATATACTAAATTAGCAAAACCAAAACTCTAAAATATTAAATATGAAGTTATGAACCGCTAACTGAATACGAAATAACGCCTTTCAGCTTGGACGTTGTCTGATACCCTGCTAGACCTAAAATGCCTCTTCAATGTAGAGGCCAGACCGCCAAGGAAGACACGGCCGTCAACGCAGAGGCCACACCGCCGGAGAGGAAGAGTCAACCGTCAACGCAGAGGACAAAGGCATAAATCGTCTTCTGTCAACGAAGAGGCGGCTGTTGACCGTCGCCTTTTCAGCTTTGACGCAGATACTAAGTACAAAGTACGAAAGAGGATCCAGCTTCCCATATTCAGATTTCCACGTTGTGAACTTCTGTTTTATTTGATCTCAATAGATTCAATTAGATTAGTTGCTACACACTTGTTTGTTGCTTCCCATACCCCGATTCCATATGAAATTGCTAATTGCTACACACGGGTTTGAAAAGAACTCATTCATATAGTCTTGTTAATAGCATTATAACAATATAGTCTGAAGTTGTGAACTAAGCTGGAGCACTCTTTGTCCATTGAACATTTGCACTTAAGGCTTCAAGCCTTCAAGTGAACTTAACGATGTTTTGGTTTGATTGGTGTTTCTACTGTTTGGTTGGTTAATGAAATGAACGCAAACTTGTTTTAGACTAAACAAACTCGTTTGATAAAAGTCTGATAGTTTGGTCTTTTTAGTGTTTATAAACGTACTTGATTGAAGTACACGTAAAGTAAACTTCATTCTATTTCTATTTTGGAGGCTGGAATACTTTTGGGCAATAGTTTTTTCTATTTTAGTTATCTTTTTCAATTTTAGATTGGGCAGTAGCTTCTAGTCTATTTTAGTCTTCTCACATGTGTTGATTTTCAGAATGTCTGATGCTATCGGAAAAGGTACCCCTAGCAGTAAGACGACATCATCTACGACTACATCTCCAACACCACCACAAGATCAAGTAAAGGTTATGCAATCAAAGTTATCAATGGCTCCCCGAAATCCCCAACCTTCTCGAAAAAGAAAAGCAAAACCTACGCCAATTACAAAACAACCAACCATTTTAACTTACACTACAGAGATCATCTACAGAAAGATCTTGGGTTTGGGAGCATTTCAAGAAATGCACCATCACATAAATGCACGAAGTAGAAAAAGATGGAAAAATATAGTTGGTGGAGGTAAAAGTACTAAAAAATCATGTGTGATCATTGTAAATCGTTTTTCGCCAGTGACACTACATACGGCGGAACATGTACTTACAATAAACACTTACTCAAATATTGCAAGTCATATATAATCCAATTGATGAGTTGCAAAAGCTTCTTCGCAGTTTTGGACCTTGGGAGAGGTCAAAATACGTGCTAAGGGGTGGAGCCACGAAAAAGCAGTAGAGGACATTGTTGAGTATATTGTTATCGACGAGGTACCCTTTAGTTGTGTTGAGAGTGAAGGATTAAACCGAATGATATCTAAAGTCTAACACAAATTGGTTGTCCGTCAAGAAGAACTATAGTGAGAAATTTATTCATTATGTTTGATACCATGAAAGTTCAGTTGAAAAGAGAAATACATAAACATAGAGTGAGCGAACTTAACTACTGACACATGGACATATTTGCAAAATCTGAACTACGTGGTTTTAAGTGTTCATTTTGTAGATGATAATTGAAATATGCAAAAAAGGATTCTAAACTTTTGTGTAATTTCAAGCCATGGAGGTAAAGATATAGGGAAACAAATTGAGAAGTTCCTGATGGGATGAGAAATTGAAAATGTGATGTGCATCTCAGTTGACAATGCATCAGCCAATAAAGTGGCAATTAAGTATGTTGTTCAAAAAATGCAGAAATGGTTGAATATTAAAATGATAATGAATGACAAGTTTATCCATGTGAGGTGTTTGACTCATATTATCAACTTGGTGGTGAAAAACAGATTGAAATGCCTGGAAACAAGTGTGTAATCTCTAAGAAATGTTGTGCGGTTTGTGTGATCAAGTCCTCGAAGGTTTACGTATTTCAAGACATGATCCCTTTTCAAGTTGAATGAGAAGTTGAATAGTAGGGATCTAGTTGTTAAGTCTTAAACTAGTAATATCGAGAACTTACCATGATCCCTTTTCATTTGTTGTTTGAGGTCCGTTATCTTCATTTGAGATGGAGCCTGTAATTGCAATTGATGATGCTCTTCTTTGTTTATATTTTGTAAAAAAGAATGTATAAAAATGAAATAGAAATCAACTCAGATAAAAAGGACAAAAAAATTACACAAATAAATTACCTTCTTCACACTCTTGATAAAAACTCAAGTTCTGTTGGGGTCGCTTCAAGCAAGATTCAAGCATCATGTACGTACTATTCCACCTAGTAAGTACATCCATCACAACTAGACCCATAGTATAAACCTTCTCATTCTCTAAACATTTCTTGAAATACGTAAACCTTTGAGGACTTAATCGCACAAACCGCACAACATATTTTAGAGATTCCACACTTATTTCCAAGCATTTGAATCTTTCTTTCATTATTAAGTTGATAATATGAGCCAAGCACCTCACATGCATAAACTTGTCATTCATTATCGTATTAGTATTCAAACACTTCTGCATTTGTAAAACAACATACTCAATTGCCACTTTATTGGCAGATACATTGTCAACTGAGATGCACATCACAATCAATTTCTCACTCAATCAAGCACTCTTCAATTTGTTTCACTATATGTTTACCACTATGACTTGAAATCAAACAAAAGTATATAATTTTTTTGTGCATATTCCAATCATCATCCACAAAATGAGTTGTTCATATTTTGCACATGTGACCATTTGTCAATAGTCAAGCTCACTCTATGCTTACGTATTTCTCTTTTGAACTGAACTTTCATGGTATCAAACATAGTGAATAACCTTCTCACTATAGTCCTTCCCGACGGAACAATCAATTTGGGTTGGACTCTCAACATAATTAAAAGGTACCTCGTCGATAACAATATACTCAACAATGTCCTCTATTGCTTCTTCGTGGCTCCACCAATTAGCAACAAGTGTATTTTTAACCTCTCCCGAAGGTCCAGAACTGCCAAGAACCTTTTGCAAGTCATCAGTTGGTTTATATGACTTGCAATGTTTGATTAAGTGTTTAACGTGAGTACTAGTTCCGCCACCTCTACTGCCACAACAAAAAATGACTTAGAATGATTACACATAGCTTTCTGTACTTCCGCCATCTCTGTCTTTCCATCTTTTTCTACTTCCTGCATTTTTGAGATGATGTATTTCTTGAAATGCTCCCAAACTCAATATCTTTCTGAAGAAGATCTCTCTAGTGTAGCTAAAATGGTTGGTTGTTTTGAAATTGGCACCACTTGTGGTTTTCTTTTTTGAGAGGGCGGGGAATTTCGAGGAGCCATTGACAACTTTGATTGCATAAGCTTTGCTTGACTTTGTGCATAGACTTAAACTTTAAGTCTACTGATAATTAGTATACATGAAGTTCATTATTTTCTTTAACTCACCGGTAGTTACTTTTCATTCATTGTAGTTTCTTATTGATGGTTAGCATATTAGTAGTTAGTATATTAATAGTTTTCATATGGTTCTTTTTTATTATGCTTTAGTTTCTGATAGAGTATATCTCCTGAATTCTAGAGAGAAGTGCAATATATGCTTCAATAGAATGATTTTGTAACCCCCATAACTACTCCCAAGGGGAGTATTTATAGAGAAAATTAGGGTTGGGCTCCCAAGCCTTGGGCTTGGGAGGCCCATTTACAACTGGACCGCTACTGGGCCGAATACAAAGCCTCTAGTGGACTGTACAAATGAGTAAGTATAGGATCCGATTCTGGGAGGTCTTCGAGGCCGACGAGGGCGCGGCCGACGAGGGCACCCGAGTCCCTTAGACTCAGGACCGTAATCTGAGTTGGCACCTTCTCGGCCGACGGGGGCGTCTTGGCCGACGAGGGCGCCACTCTGTTGTCTTGTGCTCTGTTCTTCCGAGTATGTGGGTCCTGGGGCTCAGACCCATATACTCCATCAGGAGTCCCCCACTCTCTAAGCTGAGACGCAGACGAAGTGAAGGAGAGTAGATTCCTGTGCTTTGTTGCCCTTGGCCGATGCGGGCATCCCCAGGCCGTTAGCCGTTGCGGCGTTGGCGTTGTTCCCTCTTTGGTGATCCTGTCCTGTGCTTTGGCCGTTACCTGTTCCTCGCTGTGGGCGGGGAGGCCGTTGTTTCCTTAATTTGTTTTGGGACGATGAGTGTCCTTCTTTCAATGGTGGACGTTGAAGGCGCGCTTTCCCTTTCCTGGACGTTGGTGGTTGAAGTTTATGTTTGGGCCGATGTAGCCGTTGAGATTGTTCCTCGCTTTGAAGACGATGACCTCATTTCCTTTGTGTGGCCGATGAGGGTGTTTGCGCACTCCTTTTGGCCGTTGCTGGTTGGCCTTCGTGTTTTTGGCCGAAGAGCCCGTCAAGGTTATCTGTTGGCAGAGGACGATGAGTGTCCTTGCCTCTAGTGGCTTGTTGGCCGTTGCGAGTAACGTTATGGGCCTTTGGCCGATGAAGTTCCGTTGTGCTGTATGGATGATGTGGCCATGTTTTGTGGTTACCTTGTTCGCACTTTTTTGTTTTGTTGAGGCCGGTGTAGTCCCCCAGTCCCCCACTGCTTCAGGCTGAAGAGTGTGAGGGGTGAAGGAGTTGCTTGAGTCCCTGGCCGAAGCGGTCTCGCCGTAGTCCCCCTGAATCCAACTCTCATGGCGATTTTCTGGCCAAGGTAACCCTGTGTGAGAACCCTTGTGCGCAGATCGCTTGTAGAGAGTTATCATCAAGGGTTATTACGAGAAGCCGAAGGCTGTGGGCTATTTGTCCCCTTTGTTCTGTGGCCGTTACGTTCCTGGCCGTTGCCATCCGTTTATTGTTTGGCATTTGTGATCTTGGTGAGCAAGTGGGACGTTGTGGGCGCTTGCTGGCAGTTGTAAAGCCGCTGAGCGTGTGTAGGCCGTAGGGTCTGATTTGCCGGTGGGCCGTTTGATATGGGTTGGTTCTGGCCCGTTGGTGACGTGGTGCCCCCCCAGTGGTGGCCGTTGATGTGGCCATTGGGGGAGTGCCACGTGTAGTGACCGTTGGTGGGGGGTCTATAAATACCCCTTCCCCTCCGACGAAGAATCACATTTGCATTCTGAATTTGTCGAAGTGCTGGCCGATTTTCTAGAGAGATAAACTCCCAAGCCTGTTCTTCGTGTTCTTCGTTGTTTGAGGTTAGTGTTCATCACGATCTTCCTCACTTTTCATATTTTGCTCCGTAAGTACTTGATCTAGTGTTAGGCGTTTAAACACCTTTAGATCGTAAGTTCTCCTTAAGCCCGTAGTAGTAGTAATGAAGAGCTTGAACGACGACTACTACCCCTACGACGACCAGCCCTCCACGAGGTCGCTTGACTACGAGGTGCTCGAGGAGTTTGAGGAGGAGATAGAGCGTTTAAGTCCATACAAATCCGCGGAGCTGATGGGCGAGGAAGGCGAGGACGAGGAGTCCGCCTCCTCTTCAAAGGGTGAGGACGTAGGTGCGTCCCGAGTGGTGGACGGGGCGTCCACTTCTGCTGTCATTCCGTGCCCGAGGCCGGTGTCCGCCGTTAAGGGAGCCGCCAAGCCGAAGAGAGTGAGGAGGCCGAAGAGTGGGCCCGGCGTCTCCTACTTGGATCTCACCAACATCTACCTGATAAAGCCGGAGAGCAGTGCGGCCGACTATCTGGTTGCCCAGATGTACGTGGGGCCGTTCGGGCGGGTTAGGGCGCCCAAGCCGACGGACCATGTTCTTCTTCCACCACCGGGATACTTTGGAGTATACCCGATGAGTTTTGCTAAGGGGTTGAGGTTTCCTCTTCACCCTTTCATTACTGAGTACCTGAACATGGTAGGGCTTCCTCCGGCCTTGCTGACGCCGAACAGCTACTCCTTGATGGTGGGGTTCTTGCTCCGGTGTGAGGAGTTGGGCTACAAGCCGACAACGCCATTATTTATGAATCTGTACCAGATAGGCCGAGGAAGCCACAAGAACTGTGCGGCCTACGCGACTCTTCAGCAGCTGCCGAAGAAGAGGAGCTTCACGGATTTGCCTACGTCCATCCATGGGTGGAAGAGCAAGTTCGTGTTTGTGTCCATTGGTGAGAGTGGCACCGAGTTTCCCTCCCTCGGCCACACCGGGAGATTTAATCTGCATGACCCGCCGAAGAGTTCTATTTTGGACGCTCAGGTGGAGGCTTTCCTGGAGGGGGGGCCGAGGAGCGTGAAAGATTACATCACTGAGTACAAGATGGCCGCCCTCGGCTTCGTGAGGTACTATGTTTATGGTGATAAGGAGGATGACCTCCAACTCTGACCGAGGATGACCACCACCTTTGAGGAGGCCGACGGCCCGGACTTGGGCATTCCTGCTGAGGTCGATGGTAATTCTTTCTTCGGCTTTCTGTCTTTATGTTTTGTCCTTTGCCTTACTAATCTGTTTGTGTTTTTCCTTTGTAGATTTTGTCATGGATCGCCGTTCCATGATGGCTATTGCAAAGGCCAAAGCGGCCGAGGAGATTGCTGCTAAGGCGGCCGAGGCGGCCAGGCGTGTTGCGGCCGGTGGGAGCGGGGCTACTGCAGATGCGGCCCCAAAGCCTGCCCCATCAAAGAAAAAGAGACCGGCCACTGACGGCCAGAAAAAGCTGACTGAGGCCGGCGTGAGCGTCTCTAAGAAGACGAAGAGGGTTCCTTCCCCTTCTCCGGCTAGTGAGGCCGGCACTCTTACTGTCCCCAGCGTGGGCGATGGTGGTCCCGTCGTGGACCTTACTGTTGCTGACGATGCCGCCCCAGCGCTTCCTCTCGTCCCGGAACCACGGACGCAGAGGGCCGGCAAGGAGATTGCCGATGCCACCTATCAGAAGGTGATAGAGTACCCCGTCGGCGGGGGCATTTTTAATGATCTCGTCCCCGGCCACGTCGTCCTGGCCAAGGCCATGCCGGCCAAAGATCGGGCTCACTTGAAGAAGCTCGAGGACCCGAAGATTTATGAAGGCGGCATGGACCTCCTCGTCCAAGTAAGTAACTGCCCTTATATTTTTGTCTCTCTTCGTCTGTGTAGAGTTTTTTGTCTGACCTTTGTTTTCCTTCTGCAGAGTGCCTTCATGCTTATGGAAAGCCATAAGAGGCAGTACTGGGAGATAGTCCGCCTGCAAGCGCTGGAGCAGAAGGCTGCCTCGGCCGACGAGGCGGTTGCTTGCCTTGACCGGCTCCGGGAGGATGCCAAGGCGCTGCAGGCCAAAGCTGATGAAGCCGTCGCAGCCAGGGACGATGCCCTGGCCAAGCTCGAGGAGAGCAGAAGGG